TGGTGGTGGAAACGATTATATTCATTTCCCATTTGATCTCTCTTCTCCTTCTTTCAACTTCTTTTAGTTTCTGAAACAGGGAATGAGATAAGATTTGCTTGTGTTTTGTACAGTCAAATTCTTGGTGTTTTCAGCACACAGAACACAGAGAGAGAGAGAGAGAGAGAGAGAGAGAGAGAGAGAGAGAGAGAGAGAGAGAGAGAGAGAGAGAGAGAGAGAGAGAGAGAGAGAGAGAGAGAGAGAGAGAGAGAGAGAGAGAGAGAGAGAGAGAGAGAGAGAGAGAGAGAGAAGGGTTGGGGGGTTAATGAGAAGAGAGCAATGTTATTTATTATGAGGTTGCCATGGTCTTTATGGTATTCCAAAGCAAGGAGAGAGAGAGAGAGAGAGAGAGAGAGAGAGAGGGTGTTGAGTTTGTCAAACATGAACAAAGTGATGTGTATTTTAATATAACAAGACTATCCTTTTAATTTAATATAATTAGATTTGATTCAATTTTTGTGTTTACTCATTCTTTAACAATGACTTGTGGGAAGGAGAGACCAAGACAGAAGTATGTCAGGACCATTATGTTGCCTTTCTTTGGGGTAATATATGTAGTAGTAGTATGCTTAATAAGTGAAGGTGTGAAAGGAAAGCTCCTTTTCTTTAATTATTATTAAGGGTCCGGCTTAAAAGATGAAAACGGATAAATCTTCCATCCAATCCAACCAGTTCATGCCAAGTCTACACGCTATTCATGGTAAATCATAGGCTGACCTCCCTCTTGTCTCCCTTCGATCTAATCGGTTAAATTCACCGTCTAACGACACAAGCAGTTTGTATCAAAACGCTACTATAACATAACAAAAATCCAAAACAAATAATAACCCAACAAGTACTCAAGAATCTAATTAACTCAATTGTGGTTCTAGGGTTGGATTAGTTCTGCATCTAATCTTGTTTAACTGAAAGAGAACAACCTTTTGAAATTTGAAGATATTTATGCCAATTCAAAATTTTCTGCTCCTCTCCTCTCTTCCCACATCATTGTATATAAGTTCATAATTGTATCTGTTTCTGCTTTTGGAGCTTGTTCTTGTAAATGCTTCTGCTTTAGTTTTGCTGCACAAATACTTGATCGATTGGGACATGCTTGAAGCAGTCAAAGGTCAAACAAATCAACATAAATAAATGTTCAGCACGTATTATTAGGTGGAACCACGTTTACCCAGAAGGAAGCCCACAAGTAATTAATCCGCAGCCTCTTTTCTATAAATTATAATGCATGCATTCCTTTAGTGGCAACAATTATATGACTTTCGTTTTTTCCTAAAAGAAAAAATTTAAAAAAAAAATATTTATCTTCAAGAAAAAACATTAAAAAAAAGTATATGACTTTCACTTTACAGTAATCTTCCAAGCCCCCTACTAAGCTGGGTCTAGTTTCTCTTTGTGTGTACACATTTGACCACATTTGCATTTGGAAAATCAAACTATAATAATTTATAAATGTTTGATATTCTTTTGATATTGAAAACAAGTTTAATATTCTTCATAGCAAGCAATTTTTACCTTGTCAAATTTATTTTTCTTAGCAATGTTTCGACAAACACAAAAAAAAAGATTAATCTTGAGAAGCCAAAACCTTTTTCTTATTTTATTTCTGCTGTTGTTAAACTCAAGAAACCATTATTAGCATGGATCAAGTAAAGTACCAATAGAAATCAGAAAGAAATTTGGAACTTTCAGCTTAAAAATTAAATCTGTCAGAACTCCAGCTGCTACGTAAAGACAGTGCAAGCAATTAGGGTAAGCCATACTCGAAACAACAAGAATCTTACACTAACTCACTAGCTTATAATTTTTATTAAAAATTCGAAATGTATACGAAACAAGTTAGATTAGTGTTAAATACGATTAACCCAATTTTTATATCGTAAACTTAATTTTAACTGGTACGGTATAATTAAAGTGTTTTTTTGTTTTATTTTAAATATATATTAATTAATTTTTTTAATTTTGTATTTTGTGCATGAGATGAGAGTTTGGGTTGATTAGCAGAACATTTTGTTTTAAAATTGAAGCACATGCACACCAGGTGCAGGGAAAAATTGTGAAGGAAGCAGAAGATGCATACATCTCAGCCGACAAGCCATGCACCCCACAACGTGGGAGGCACATGAAAGGTGAATTTGGTACACTAAATCTATCATATCTTACCAGACAAGCTCCCCTTGGTTGGCAATGGCAGCACTTTGCCCTAATAAGATGGCATTCACATTATAATGTGTTTGGTGTAGGGCTGGGACCATCCAATTCTGTTTGAAAGGGGCTCATCGCATCAATTATCAATATCACCAATGATTTGCTTTAAGAAAATCTACATTTGATTTTTGTTCGACTTAGTCCGTTAAGGATTTATGCTGATTCATGTGGATGGCGTGTTATGTTGTTCAATGATCAATCTGAAAACCGCATATCTGATTTAACGTTCACTTGATTAAAAACTTGGATTGATAGATTTGTAATAATATGTGCTAAACTGTCTTATATAGGGGATTTTTGCTTCTACTTTTTTTTTCATTTATCCTCCATAAGGTTATGAATGATGTTTGCTTGAAGTACAATTAACTGGTAATTGTCTTAACAACCTCTAATCATAAGAAGAAGATAATTGCAATTAGTCTCAAAATATATCGTTGTCTATGTGGAATACACAGATTTTCGTTGCATAGAATTTCATTAATATGCAATTTTTAAGAAACTCAGCAAAATAATAAAGAATTATAAGGTGAAATGCAAGTTTTTTTTTTTTCTTTTTTTGTTGAAGAAAAAAGTTGGAGCATGATAGCTGAGATCCACCATTGCACGTGTTGTACAAAGTAAAAGGCTTTAGAAATGGCTGGAAGCCAAAGAAATACACACGCATACATCCATATATAATATAATTAATATATATATACACACACACACACAAACAAAAATAAAAAGAAATAAAAAGTTAATGGCCAAGTGCAGTGGCAAAGCAGGACTTGTAACAACATATCCTTATCTGTGACCCCAAAATTATTTGTTGTTTAATCTTTTGTAATATGAAGATTCTTGGACCCCTCCAATTGAAATACGTTCAGTATAATAATGGTGAAGATTCTCTGAAAATATATGTAATATTTAAGGTGAATTACATAAAATTCTCCAAATTTCCGTGTTCATTTCAAATTGGCACCTGACTTCCGGACTTGTCACGTAAGCATTTAACATACTCACTAGCGATGCGATATAGGTAACATATATTATATGTATATCAATTCCAAATCAACCCTAAAATTTAAGGGTTGTATGTAATTAACCCTAATACTTATAGAGTGAGTGTGGGTGTGAAGCACAAGAAGAGAGGTGTGATCTGCTGCCAGTTGGCCTGCCTGCCTGCCTGTCAGATCCCAAGATCCACGTCTGCAAGTGAACAAGCTTTTGTTTTGTTGTGTTTGCAGGTTGTCCTACATTTGATATTTCACAAACTTAATTGTATTTTTCTATTTATTTTTCTTTAGAAAACATCGACATCGACATCATCAAATATCAAATCTCCTATCTGTAATAAGTATGGTTTGCTACATTATTGGAATTTGGAAGGGAGACATGAATCCATCCGATAATATAACAACAAAAGCAAAGCAACAAGGTAGTAGTGTTAAGATTGATGATCAATTAACACACATATCTTCTTTATACAAATATGCTGTAAAAAATAAAATAAAATTCTAATTACAGACCATTTTGTTTTCAGATATATAACATGTTGCTGATGTAGTACGTCTTATTTCTCAGGGAGTTCGGATTTTGTGCTTATATTTTACGTTGAAATCGCCGTCATAATTGAGATATCAACTTGAATTCGAGGCACCTATTCGAAATCTTATAAATACAGAAAATGTAAGCGTATAATAATGTGATTTCATCTTTCCCAATATGCTTCTTTCCTTGAAGTATCGTATGGGTTATGGTATGTGAAAGTCAATATGTACGGCCTTTTTTTTATCTACAAAGCTTAGAAGAAGGGAAAAAACACAGCAGCACGTGGAAAATATGGTTTACATTACATCAGAACAACAAAAACCCACAATCAAAATCAACGTTCTGAGCTTCCTTTCCTGATGACGTGAGAATAAATATGTGGCATACAATAACAGATTGGTTTCAATTTTCTAGGGATTTGGTTCTGACTTGTGACTTTTGGGTTTAAGGTGATGGGCCAGAAACAAGGGTAAAAGTAAGATCACCATTCAAATCCACGAGGATGAGATTTGGTTTTATTCGCAGAGTTCTTTCTTCTTTGTGTTGGGCATTCTGTCCTATCATATTCATATCCATAAAGTCGGCATGCATAGCCAGAATTACAAGTTATGAAATGTCAAACAGTCACACTACAATACTATATAGCATTCCAACCAACCAGATGTCATATTAGTTAGTGTCATCTCATATGGAAAAATTCAAACTTATTTCGACTCACAATTTTTATTATTATTTAATCTAATATGTAAGGAGGCAGATTTGAACGCGAGTGCAAAGGAATTGGGATACTGTCCTGACCAACTGGGCTAACCCGCGTTTCCATTTCGATTCACAGAGCTGGAGGCCCAAGACAATATGCCCAAATTGGCTAAACGATCAGCAGCTACATTCCCTCAGACAAGGAGGCGGTGGAGAAGAGCTGAAATCTCCCTTTCACAAAGAGTTAAGATAATAGTTGAATCCACCTCAACCAAAAGAAGGGAAATTTGGTTATGTCGGGCAAGCTTAAGACACATGACACAGAGTCCAAAGCTAACCTTGGACAAAATATCTCCTGCACCAAGATTAGCCATGAAGCCAACCAAAAGTATTGAGTAGAAAAGAGTTTCACTTAAAACCGAACAAGCATTTGTTTTTGTCCTTTGTCATTGTGGACAAGCCACAATCTCAAGCCATAGTCAGATATATCATATACTAAACTGCCAGAGCAGCCAATCTAGTCAAAATGCAAAAATGAAGAAACTCGCAGTAACGTTAGAAGACTTCTGTATATGTACAGAAGAGTGACACTACAGAGAAAAGAACACAGGACATGGATTTACAACACAGACTTCTGCACCTTAACAAAGGATAGCAAGGTGCAACTTTGGCAAAAATCGCATTCCTCTCGAGGCTCAGCATGCTCCTGTGTGTCCCGGGATCATTATATTGCTACATATGCGAATTATAAGTGCCCATAATAAGCATACACTTGCATGCTGGCTTGCTGAGAGGAGTATATTTTCGCATCTTCATAGTTCATACAATTGCTATTTGATGCATTGCCCATCAAATGCTAAACTCCTCAATTCTGTCCCGTGTTTTCACCATTACGTGACAAGGACAGGCAAATGTTAGCACTCATTGCCAACCAAAAGTAGTCACCATGATAGTCCATCTACATCAGGGCAAAAAAGGAGAAGAAGAGCCCTAATGGTGACCATCAAGTTGGAAATTCAACATACTCCTGCAAAATACAAGTCCTAGGAGAGCTGTTATTGAGAAGATTCCTCGTGTTTACCACCCTGTGGTGCAACTGCTTGATCCTGTGACAATAGGGATTGCAAATTATCCAAATCGATAAGAGGCTCTTTATTTGAACCATCATCCTTCCTATTAGTATCATTTGATGCTTCATCATTAGGTTCTAGAGAACCATCATTCCTATTAATATCATTTGATACTTCATCATTAGGCTCTATAGCTCTAGAGTGATCCTGTTGCTTTGCCGTTTCAGCATGCTGGTGGAACTCTGTTTGTGAACTTGATACAGGAAGAGATGGAGCAGCAACGCCTAACCCTTTGGAAAGACAAACATACTTGAAAACAAGGTGTTTGTAATTATTAAGGAGGTCTTCTACATCATTGAGTGTTAGATCACCAACATGCGCAAACAAGTATGGATACTCCCGGAAGACCTGGCTCGCCTTATCATCATTTACAAGGATTGTCGCGCCCTTATCCTCCAAATCTGAAAGGGATGGAATTTTCGAAAAGGATAAATGATCTTTTGCACCATAGGGCATATTTTTCGCTCGGGATTTTCTTTCAGAAGATTTGTGTTGTGCAGAATCCTTGTTGGCATTCAAAGGTTGATGTCTGGGTTCCATAGATTCTGACCGATGTACATATCCTGCATATTGACCGCTTTGATTATACTGACTGTCCAAATCAGTTGAAAGTCCTGAAAGAAGTGCTCGAGCAGTTTCCATGTTCTTTTCAAACTCAGTTTCATCCATTGAAATGGAATTTGCATCAATATTTGAGATGAAGGACTCCACAGAGAGCATGTTTGTGAAAAAATAGGCTGTTTCACCAACTAATCGAGATTGTCGCCTGTACCTTTGTATATACAATAAATTTGAGTGCAGTTGTGGAGGGTTTGCCTGCATCATCATTTAAATAGAGCAACTTTGTAAACATGACATACTCTGGTCCCTTCTACAATTGAAGAACGCAACGCACCTCCAGTGGTAAATTAATTGAATAGTTTATTTAGAATAGACGATGATATGTATTGCATCAGAAGTAAATTTTTAATCAAATAAATCAGGACATTATATAAAGTTTGCCATACCTTTAAAGTAACATAAATTAGGACGGGAAGAAATTCATCAGCTCCAGGGGGATTCTCATTTGAAGCAACAGAAGCATTCAGCAACAAGTTATTGATAACCTTGCAACAATTGAGGATACACACAAGCTTATCCCTGGGTGCCTTGTACATATTGATCTTTTGCAGTTCTTTCTGAGCAAGCTGAAAAGATAAAAGCAACAAAAAAATGCATTGGTAAGGATTTAACGAGAGGTATCCAACAATGATTAAGTCTAAGATTACAGAAGTCAGAAAAAAAAAAAATTATATTGCGATCCTATGTGCATTCTCATGAAAAGAAAAAACAACCAAGAAAAAAAACAGTTCAATCATAAGTTAGAAAAGTTGACACAATAATTACACCGAACATGAAAAGACAGTTAGTTCACACCACAAGAAGGAAGGAAATAGGGAGAATTGATCTCTATTTTGTGATTCTATAAACTAGGAATTTGTCTGAGCTACAAAAACTCCTGCTAGTGTTTGGAAATCCCGCACTATCCTGATTGCTATTTCCTTTTCAATACCTGTCAACATGTGGGTCTAATTTTCCTCAAAAAAGCTCCTTAAACAAGGAACTGTTAACAAATAGAGACAACTCATATGCAAATCAATGCATCTCGATTGAAAGCTATGTCCATGTCTTTATTTAAGGATCTCATTACAAAATCAATATCTCTCTCTCAGTCTAATTTTTCTCAAAAAAGCTCCTTAAACTAGGAACTGTTAACCAATAGTACATACTCTCTCTCTCTCTCTCTCTCTCTCTCTCTCTCTCCTGTATACATACTTTATTTATACATATTTGATATGTATATTATATCTCATAAATATATATATACACACATATTTGATATGAGTAGTCCTTTACTCACCAGCCATGATGTTTCATTTTGAAATGTGGGCTTAATATCCAAATTCTCCGGTCGAATGAATTGTTGTACTAAAGCCATCTTCTCATACAGTTGGTCATCAAGTTTTACATCATCCGGAACTGAAGCAAATACACGAGGAAATAACTTTGTCATGACATACTTCTCCAGTCCCTGTATTTAACAGAATCCAAGAAAAACAAAATGCCAACAACATCAATAAGACATCACATATTAACATAAAGTATTAGAAAGGAAAAAAAAACCATCTGAGAGGGAGAGATATGCTAAAATAATACAGGTCCTAGAAGATGAAAGAAAAACTACAGAGTTCCTCAAAGAAGACTGATATACATTATACAAGAAGGTATGAAGTACAATATCTTTTACATTTTCATAAATCTTCATTCTACACTGCCAGAATGGAGTGTGAGGTTCTCTTTGATGGGTGTGTTCAGCTTTCAATTTCGGTTTTCTTTTATTTCATATGTAAAGTGTCATTAAGACATGTTTCTTCTTCCCCGGTAGAAACTAGAAGGGGGCAGAAGAAGATGAGTTGCTGTGCTTACAACAGCAAACACCCACCTAAGCAATGATGCTTTAGCCTTTCACTTAATCCCTCTTGACAATTAATTCATGATCATTCATATATGCAAGCAAAACTAAAATGCTAAGCGTTTAGTTAATATCAAACTCAAACTCACTTCGCCAGCACTGTCGAGCTCCTCTTCTGAACAACCAGCCCAAAGTGGATGAGCCCTAAAATCCATTTCCATTTGGGCAAAGAAGTCCTGCACCGCAGCACTGTCCCTCTCTGGATCAGGAGCATTGTTCGAAAACGATACTATGAAACTGCAATCCAATCCAAACCAACCCAGTTCAATTCAATGCAAAACAAACATCAAACTCCATTCTCGCACTCAATTCTCAACTTTGATAAGAGATTCTTACTGCAGAAACAAATAATCCAAGATCTCAAAATCCACTTTACCTTTTTATGGACTTGACGAAATCAGCGGCCGTCGGTTGACGCATTCGTTCAAGAAAGTCCTGCAGGCCCAAGAACACATCGGCGGTCTCCATTCTCCACCACCGTCCGATTGCTCCAAAATCTCAGCTCTACGGCGATGATGAGAGAGAGAGCTGAGAGCTGAGAGCTGACCACTTTCAAGTTCAAAAGCCAATTGATAATTAAGCTGCGATGGAGTGGATGTACGTATTTGATTATCGGATGACAAAAGAAGATCCAAAGTTAATTAACACTTTGGTAATTGTTGGGTTATGAGTTTTCGGGGCCCCGACTTAAGAAAATTGATGATCCAACTGGATTCTGGATGATGGATATCGCGTTTGCTGCCAGTTGCTTATGGGCCTTGGGGTTGGGCTTGCCTGGCAGGCTTGGATGTTGACTCATTTTGGCTCAGCTTCAGTTGAGTGATTCTGGGAGGCAAGTATCACTTATGGAGAGAAGCACTCCCACGTGCTCTCTCATGTGTTTCTCTATAAATCAGATCAAAAGTAATTATATGGAGAAGTCATTATTAGCCTATCTAGAATTACTCCCAAACGAACCCAATATCAATGCTTCAGAAGCACTTATGCTCATAAGCTCTTTTGTTAGAGGTGCTTTTGAAAGAACGTCTCAATTTTTGTTAAAAATCCAAGTGCTTTATGAGTGGCTTTTGTTAGAAACACTTTTATGGACAGAACATCTAAATTTTTGTTAAAAATCCAAGTGTTTGCTAGGTACTTCTCCATAAATCACTTTTATGACTCGTCATAGCTTTTAAATTGTTCTGCCAAAAGCAATTAGATGCGCTTTTAACTCTTACATAAGCATAAAAGCGTTTTCTGACAACCATGAATCTCTTTTTTATGCTTTTTAAGGCCCAACCATGTCATATATTAGAGTATTTGTATCAACAACAAAAAAATAAGCAGAATGCAAGCCTGCATGTTCTGATGTCAAAAGCCATAAGAAGCTATTGACTTTTACCGACCATATTGGCTTCAGACGCAAAAGAAACATTCACCTAAAGGTTATCTCAAATCTAAAACAGTTCATTTAATTGTAACTTATGCATTCTAAAGTGTGTTAGTGCACGTTTGAGAGTGCTTTGGAAGTGAAGAAAGGCATGAAAATCATAAAACCAATGAAGTGAAAAGGAACCCCCAGCCCTCATCACATAACATGAAAGCAGCAGCGAAAGCAATGTATTTTTTGTGTTTTGTATTACAACAAGTAATTCCTGTGGATCAGTGGAAGAATACAACATTAACTGAAAAAGGTTGCTCCTGCTACTGGGGGACACACTCGGCCTGGTGCAAATAATACCCACATCAGAAGAAAACATTTCGATCCTACTTAAAACTATATCACAAGAACTGTCATTTCGTATAAATACCCTCGTACATGCAAGAGCTGTCATTTCGTATAAACACCCTCCCACACGCAATTACAATCGGAATATATCTTTGAACACAAACAGTATTTTCAGATTCACATCCATTCAATCGCCAACACTTCGACTGAACAGCTTCCACATAACTTAAGCACCAGGTCACCAGCTCTCATGTCTTCCCCAAAAGTTTAAGAAGCAATGTCTTAGAAATGTGTATCAATGCTATCTCCATCTACACTCTCAAAAATGTCAACTGGACTTGAAGTGAAATTGAACAATTTTTACACACTTTTTTTCACAAGAAAGGCCTCTACAACGTGAACTGATTTAGAATAATGAACTCCAAACAGCTGCATCCCCTTCACCACACTTTTCATGAACATGTTTAATCTTCTCCACTGACTTGCAGATGCCACTGCAGCTCCAATCAAATGATGCAATGCACACATTACCTGCTTGTGCCTTCCACTCACAATCTGCAGAGGATTCATCTAAATCAAAATAAATCCAGTAACAGACAGATTTACCAAATTATAAGTTCCAAAAAGGAAATGTATATCTGTTGTGCGGGATCAATTTTAATGTGTCTCATCTAATGGGTAGCAAATATGCACCACATCCCATTTTTAATATTCGAAAAGATACCATTGTTTCTTCAGATTTGGATGCAAGATCCACTATTCACATATTTGTTCTAAAAACAGTACCTGGTGGAGTCCCACAGCACATATTGCGGTCATCAATGTGATCAACTTCCAAACCAATAAACCATGAACCAAGCGACACATCTTCATTGGCATACTTATGCAATATTGGCCTGCAATAAAAAACAGGATGTCTCAGAACTTCATCATGTCTTGCAGAAAGTAACATGTGCAAACTTTAAAACCTTAGTTACCACTTTAAACACTTAGAGATTCTATTAACTATGGACGCGTGAATTAAACTCTTTAATACCTGTAGGCCAAGGTGGGCAAAAATACCAGTGCTTTCAGGCTATTCATTTTGATTTAGACCCACATCCGATTCCCAAATCTCAAATTTCAAACCAATGATAAAACAACAGTTTAAAAGGTCAAATAATCCCCCCTTTTTTTTTTGGGTATATCAAAGCTTAGATTAAAGATGGTTGCAATCTTCAATGTCTTAGTGTATTTTTGCTGATGCAGGTGAACAGTTTAATGTATTTCTTATCTCCAACACAAATATGCCAAATTTCAAAATCTAGTACAGGACACTCGATGCTGTATCACACAAGGTTAATAGTAATACTACTTCTATTCAATGAAAAAGAAATGATAATATAATGTATTCTTACTGGTTGATGGAGATGTATGTAGCTAGATCCCTTGAGAGTGCATAAATCTGTCCAGTTGCATGACGGAAGTATTTGTTTCCCTCCTCTCCAAATTTCCAGTACTCTGGTTCATGGTACTTAACATTCCTAGAAAATAGAGAAATAGTAGAAGATTAATATCTCCTCCCTGAGGGAACATGTAAATTGAAGACTAACTTATCTATAAATGCATCAGGACAATTACTTTTGAGCAAGAACAGGTCCAGATTTCATACACCCGATGTAGACTCTAGGTTTTGAACGGTGACGGGCAAGAGTTGTAGCTAGCATACCTATACAAGCAAGACATGTAAGAAACTCATCCGTGGTAACAATATTCATATCTTTATAGTAGTTGAAAATATGAGCATTACAGCAGCATTGCATACCTAAATTGACATGTACATCATCATCCACCTTGACATAAAAATCAGCATCCCATTTTGCAACTGCAGTGGTGAAGAAAATTTTCGTTTTGGCAGACAATTCATGATAACCTTCAACATGTTCCTACAGTACAAAACATGAATGAGACCAAATTCCTCATAGTTCCACAGGTACAAAGTTTTATGTCTACGCTCTTACCAGCCTGAGGAAATCATTATGTTGAGCATCTTCCGAATCAATGGCTCGATCTAAAATGCTGTTGGATGTTGCACTGTATGAATTATGCAGATATCACCCAGGTTAGTTTCAGAATGAAAACAGAACACCATTTTAATAACTTATCCTCTATCACTGTGTGCTATACATGAGCAAAAACCATGCTCTGGCCTCTCTTTATAGATATAATCTATTCTGTATATATTCCTATTCTCCATATTCATATCCCTTTCAGAGGGGAAAGATTATGGCATGTCATAGTTACCCCAGAATGGTGAGAGACAGTATAAGGCCCAACTTTACCAGTAGATCATACAGAATGTAGTATAGGGTTACTTCAGCAAGAGAACATTTAGAACTAAATTGCAAGTCTTAATATCTAAAATGTTGATAAAAACTAAAATAAGAGGAGCATGTGATTCAGAACTTGTACCCACAAAATAAGCTACAAGTAGATCATACTGCACAGTATAACGTTTTTAAATTAGCAAAAGAAACTTTTTAACTAAACTGCAAGTCTCAATATCTAAAATGTTGACTTAAATATAAAGTAAGGGCAACATGTGATTCAGAACTTGTTTTCACAACATGAGCAATCTATTGCCACCAGGACATTTTACCACTGAACGACTATACTAATGCATTTCTTAATTTCTTAGCTCTCTTGGAGAAGTGCTGATTTCTCAAAAAAATATTCTACTCTGTAAAGTATGAGTATCCAAATGTCATGGGAGAAGAGCACATGCATATGTCAAAATTGCCTCATCAAACTTCAATTCCATAGGCTGCAGTTATACGACTTTAATAGAATTGTTCCATACCTGTGGCCAATCATAAAACGGATTACAATCCCCTTCTCGCGCTCCAATTGTAGTAGCTTTTCCCCTGGCCACACAATTCAGACATTTTCAGCAAGCAGTCCCATAGAATTAATAGATCTTATTTACACACAGAAGAATAACAGAGCTATGGTACCTTGAGGCATCCAAGTCTCTCTAACTGAATCTCGCCTCTTTCTACTACTAAAAGCTGTGTTAATTCCAATAACAATAAATGCTTTCTTTCTCGTTGGACTGTCCTTAGACAACTGCGAGTTGCCGCCGGCGCTACTCGAGGTGCCCATCTCCTGGGAACTACGAGCTGCTGCCAACTCCATCTGAATTGATGCCATCTGCTTGTCTAGAGATCTGGCAAGCCTCCGCAAAATTCACAATAAGTAGCAAGGTAGTTAGTGCATAGTACAAATCCATGCAATTGCAACAAAAAGAAGGCAACCCAAGTCCAACAAAATCACAACAAGAGCTCAAGTGTTTGCACTCACTGAATTGATTCATGGGTTTTGTAAATTTCGTCCATTACATCCTTTTCTTGTCCAGGCTTCTGTAAATAGCAACAAATTTCTTTTTAAAGAATATTCAAATTTAAACAAAAGGGTTTGGAATTTCTGAGCAATTAATTGTTACCTTCTTAGTTGCGCAATCTTCTGAGACGATTTGAAGCTCTTGCTCCTGGCGACGAGTCGAAATGAGCTGACCATTGGATTCAGGTGCTACCCACATTCTGCTACCGTCAAAACCCAAAATTCGTTTCAGTACTAAAAGCAAAACAGAGAGAAACCCATAACACGGATTCAACCAAAACCAAAATTCGAAAGCTGAAAATGGAACCTGCTTGTGATGAGCATGCCGAGGAGGAAAGCTGGGATGCAAAAAATGGGAATCCATGTTGCGGAAATCTTTCTGGAGCTTCGGTTCTTCATTCTCTCTTCGTTTCTCTGTGACATAGAGAGAGGGGAAGAGAGAGAGAAGTGGTGACGAAGCTGGTTGTGACTTGTGAATGAGAAAGACGGTGTGAATTTATAAGGTGGAATTGGGTTTGAATTTTCTTTTGCTTTTA